TCCACAGCCATCAAGTCTTGAAATGTGGCACAAACTTCCTCAAATTCACAGATATGAAGGTAGGGATTTTTATAATCTAAACCATGGAATTTAGGCAACAATACAATCATACCCAGTTTAAAGACAAAATGATGAGCTTGCATGGGATAAACGATGCATGAAGGTGAAGTGTGATGGGAAGGATTCAAATAATCTCTCAATGTTCTAACATTATTGAAATTCACATTAGCACACCTATTGTTTACTTCCTCAAAGCCTCATTGTCACCATGATTACTCCTAGCATCATCCCCTGGTGGGTCTGCTTGTGGCATGAAAGGATTACGAACCCCTTGTGGGTTTTGTGGTACCCCAGGGATTTGAACTAATTGGGGATGTGGAGGTAGCAAAGGGTTTTGACCTTTTGGATAACTTCATGTCGTCCTACAATGTGTTTGTGCTTGTGGGGGTATGTCAAACTAATCTCCAAATTGTGAGTCAAAATCCTTCCTAACTAACCTTCCACCAATTTCTCTATGCCAAGAGGTCATGCAACAATAACCAACACAAGTAGCAAAACAAAATAAAATACAAGAAAATTAAATAACAAATATGTAAAAGAGGAAAGAGTTTACCCAATCTTTGCTTATGCAAAAATTGCGCAAACCTCAAATGATGATGGATTACTCCTCAATTGCACCTTTTCCCTGACAACAGCGCCAAAATTGGCTTCGTCTTAGAAGATGTAAACCCAAGTGTAGGTTATCGAACAAGTAATAATTCTTGGTGATATCCAAGGTCGATCCATAGAGAGTTGGGAATTGATGGAGTGTATAAAAGATCAAAGAAATAAATATGAAAATATTTGAGAGTTTGGTTTGTTAATTGGAATTTAGTCAAAATTAAATAAAAATTGTTTATGAAAAACTAGTTTTGGAAAACACTAAGGCACTAGGTACTATTTCAATACACTTGGGTAGCAATTAACTCCTAATTTCCAATCTCAAAAGGATTTGGCAAGGATTACTTAGGAAATTCACTATTATATAATCAAAAAGTTTATCCAAATGATTTTGAGCATCTAATTGTTAATTACAAGAATTCACCATGCCCGAAATCTGTAATAAATCAACAATTGAACAATCAAATACCCAATTTCATAAAAAGTAACCAATCAATTAACTAAAGATAATCTCTAATAATGCAACCCAAGTATGGAAATCTAGTTATTTAACTCACGTGGAATCTCAAGATTTCATCACATATAGCATAATAACTCAAGAGATTATATAGAGAGAAAGTTTTGCTAAAACAATGGGAATTGAATTAATATAGCAAACCTTAATTAAGAACTAAGGAGTCAAAATTTAACCTAAAATGGTAAAAAAACCTAAAAGATACCCAGAAAGTACTACAGTACTTTTCCTAAAGAAGAAGGTGCCTCTCTCTAGTGTCATCGAGGCTCTCCTGATTGGTTGGGAGCAAGAACGGGCATCTGAAAGTGACAGTGCTTAAACACATGTCTGGACTTGACAAAAGTGTCATCCAGACACGACCTTCTATAATTCTGGTATGTTTATGCCTCTGTTGTAGCACCTCACGTCCAAACATGGGTAAATGAAGTTCGAACGTGGCCTTCTAAAGCTCAAACTCCAATTTTTTTTTCTGTTTTCTTTGTGTGTTCCACTTCCTATGTTTGCCTATTTGCCTATAATTTCTTGTCATTTTACTTGCAAAATAGACAAACACCAATTAAATCATGATAAACTAAAATATAATATTAAACATATACAATTATGTCCATACTCGTGACAATTATCCCAAAAATGATAGGAAAAATATACACTATTTTGGCTTAATCATTCAACTAGATCTGAGCTTTTCAATCCCAAGGAGAATGATCGTGCTCTCCTTATGAATCTCGATCTCCTAGATGAAAAAAGGAATGAAGCCCTACAAAGGATTGCAGCTTATCAAAAGAGGACGGCCCAATATCAAGGGAAGAAGTTTCAAGGTGGGGGACCTCGTCTTGAAGAAACTCTTACCTACAAGAAAAGACCCCCAAACAAGGAAAGCTTGGCCCAAACTAGGAAGGGTCTTATATTGTCAAGATGATAGTCTGACCTAGTAATTATGAGCTACAGGAAAATGAGGGAAAAGATTTAGCACACTCTTGAATGCATATCACCTCAAAAAGTTTTATCATTAGTAGCCAAGGGTATCAAACAATTGTTATTTTGCAAAACTTATGGATTCTTCTTTTCAAAAGTCAGATCANTCTTGAATGCATATCACCTCAAAAAGTTTTATCATTAGTAGCCAAGGGTATCAAACATTTGTTATTTTGCAAAACTTATGGATTCTTCTTTTCAAAAGTCAGATCGATGAATAAATAGTTAAGTTTAGAAGTCAAAAAATCTTGAGTACACAAATTTTTTCCAAGAGTAAAAGATGAGCACCATCGTTTGAATTCGTCAAACGAGGATGAGCTTTTTAGCTCATATTTACAGTAAAATTTTCAACTTATAGAGCACTTCAACTCACAATAAGCATCTTTAGATGCAACATCTTCAGATGCTTATAAATTTGAACTAGGATAAGATTTTTAGCTCATGCTTACGATAAGCTTGTCAACTTATAGAAGGGGGCATACATGTGTCAAGGGCACTAGTATTCAGCACAACAAAGAGAAAAGAGTTGTACATTTTACTTAAGAAACAAGTTACAAAAGAGAATATTACAACTTGTCGGCTTAAGGCCCAGTTCCTCCAACTGTATCTTTAGCAAGCTCACAAGAAGAAGCTCTCTCTTCTTCAAAACCAGCTCATGTCTCAAGATGAGCTCAGAAAGAGAGAAGTCTCCAGAAGATTCGGGATGAGCAGATGAGGAAGGGGACCCCATAAGAATTTTTCTAAAAGAAGAAGTAGCAATATCCTTTCCAGTCCTTTTCTTATCATGAGCTTCCTCTATAACCTCTAAGACGGGATCAACAACCTCAAGAGTAGGAGCTGGTCCTAGCCCAAACTTAAAGAGTTTTTAGGCTATAACCAACCTCCTGAAGGACATTGGTCGATGAGCTGAAAATTAAGAATCCTATAGAGCTCAGACGGGGACTTCTATAAGGTATCCTATGCGTTAATCAAGAAAACAATTTGTTAAAAATAACATAAGAAGAAAACTAAATATTTATAGGAAAAAATGCTCATGGGTCTTAACCATATTAATGGGGTGCCTCTAGATTCGAGGAACCCGAAAGGCCTCTATGACTTCTCCTCCAAATTCCCAAACATTCCCCAATATGATGAAAAAATGATGCTACCAGCCCTCTGATGGGACAAAAAAGACAATGACTAGCTCAGGCACTTGAGCTCTCTAGGAAAAACAGTAAAAATAAAGGAAAAAAGCAAGAACTAGGTAAAAAAAAAAATGCAAAAAANCCAGCCCTCTGATGGGACAAAAAAGACAATGACTAGCTCAGGCACTTGAGCTCTCTATGAAAAACAGTAAAAATAAAGGAAAAAAGCAAGAACTAGGTAAAAAAAAAATGCAAAAATTTTGCAAGGGAAGGAAACTTTCATTATCCTCCATACGACAGAGGAGAAAAAATCCCGATAAAAAGGCTCCACCCCTCTAGTGAAAGTTTAGAGGGACACAAGCTGAAGTGAATGAAGATCCACTTTATATGCGGAGACATGGGACACCTGAGCCTAACCTTAAAAGTGAATTCAAAGAAACACACCTTCCTCGATGAAAGCATGCTGCAAGGCTCGTCGACAGAAAGAATGTGGTCAGAGACACCAATAGGGAATTGGTATCGCCTCTTTATAGCGTTAACCTTATCCTTACAAATGTTGTTGGGAACTAGAAGAGCTCCCCAACTCGGGTTTTCTAAGTGAAGCTGCACGTCACCTAAACACTGAGGAAAGAGGGGTATCCATATCATGAGAAAAAGAGAGAAACCTTGCTTAAGAGTAGTTTTCTTTTTAAACAGATTATAGAGGGAGAACTAACTTAAGGGTGATCACATTTTTATTGTCAGAAGTGACAAACGATTGGCCTTCCCAAAGGCATTCAGCATGATGAGGCACAATTAATAGGGAATAATTAAAGCAAGCCAACCAGTAAGGGGGTGTATCTAGCAGTTTTTTTTTTTAACTTCACGACGTTTTAATGGCACGAGTAAGTACAATCATCTTAATCTTGTCTTATCAATAACCATCGTGATACCACCTAACAACTTGTGTTAAAGGCGAGTTTCTTAGCCTAGGATGAGGTTTCTTCATTTTGTATCTTAAGGAAGTTGTTGAGTTTAGGCTTAGGGGCAGACTTTTCAACCCACTCCTCCAATTCAAGACTTAGCAATAGGATTTACAACCACCAAGACTCAGGGGGCCACCCAAAACTAGAGCCTGGTGATTGAAATCCTATATAAAAAAAAAAAGAAAAAGAAAGAGAGATCACCACCACAAGGCATTCATCTTTTGACAAGTGAAAGGGGGTAGGAGCATATAGGAAAAAGATGAATAAGTAAACACAAATTACATTGCAAAAGAAGAAAAATTCAAAGTTTTCATTCCAAAAGAAGGAAGGACTGAGGAGTCACATTCAAAAGAAAAAAAAGAGAAATGAAAATAGTCATTGGTGGTCAATAGGGATTAACTCTTCCCCTCCTCTGGCTAGAGCTCTAACCTCTACATCTCCAATCACAACCATTTCCTCATAAAAAATAGGCAAAAAAGAGTGAAAGCCCAGTTCAAGAAATTTAGCATGAGCTTGTTTCTAAAATTTTTCAAATCTAGCTACAAAGTTGTCCCATTCCAAATTCAGAACATCAAATTTTTTCTTCCTAACCACCGCTGTCAAACCTCAATCGGGTACTTCCCTATATTAGAATGCATAGCACCTAAATCTTCTGGGCTAATTGATCCCTTTGAACAATCTCAATAGTGATGAAGGCAATTAGCTGTTGAGACAACACTGTGCATTGTTTCTTAACAGAAGACAGTTCGGCTTCCCTTTCATCTAAAGATGCCTTAATATGTTGGTTCTTAGGGGCAAGGGTACTAATGTGGGTAGCAGCCTGTATAAAAGAATAATACAATCAGCAAGATGAAAAAGTTTCAAAGGAAGGCGAGAACAAAAGGATAAAGGACATATTGCCATCAAGCCATGAAGGGTGTTTCTCGCCCTATCAGCATAACTCAAAGTTGAGGAGCGGTGAAGGTCAGCAGAAGGTATATTCCCCATTAACTCGAGACTGGCCAGTTGCATGTTGCATAAAAGGCTGGGCTGAGCAGGAGGTAGAGTAGAAGAGCTTGGAACAAAGGATCTCCTTGAATCACCAAGGACAATTTTTGTTTCAGAGTTATCATTTCCAGTCACAAGAACGGCATGCATGCCTCCTCGGGGGACTAGTTGGATAAGAGGCGATTCAGGGATCACAGGGGCCAACCTGGCCCTCTTATCACTCTTATCAATAGGAGTCCCATCCCAAGCCTGTCGGTAGTTCTCTAACGTGCTTATGACCAGAACTTGATCGCGAGTCATAATATTAATACCTACGAAAAGGAAAAAAAAGAGTTTGCGAAGTTATAAACAACAACCACAACTATAGGTACCACTGGTGATGAACTCACTGGGAAATACCTTCCCTGACACATGGGTAAACTCTAGTCGGGACACGAGAGGATCTATGGCTCAGACCAAATCCCAGAAAGACTTGGCATCACAAGCTAAAGCTCATGCAATCAAGACCTGTTTAGAGGCCATCAAGGGAGGCTTCTCAACTAACACTCCAAACAAAGGGAGAAATTAAGGAGTAAAAAAAAACAAGATGAGAAAGATGAGAAAGGGAAATGAGCTTAACAAAATCAACTCACCCATATTCCCGGGCATTGCTAGCATAAGTGGAACTCGAATAATTGAGGTAACCTCATTTGTGAATTCCAAACCTTTCCCCGACACAAAGAAAAAACAACACTACCAGGCCTCGGGTGACGTAGGGAGCTCAGATATCAACATAGGGGCAACCTCTCTCTGTGCGAAGCAATAACAACTAGGAAGAGAAGAAGAAAACAGAGAAGGAAACAAAGAAAAAAAAGGAAAGAAATTTAGGGACACTAGGAGAAGACTTCGCTGCAAATTGACACTAGAAGATGGGAAAAGCAACTTACAAGCCTCATCCATCCATCATTAATCTTGTATGGTAAAGGTTAAAGAAATGAAGAATCAACCTAATAAAGGATGACATAGGGAATTGAAGCCCAACTTGGAAAGCAGATTTGAAAAAACAAACTTTGTCAAGAGAAACGCCATTATAACGAGCCATTGAAAATGAGGCATCAGCAAAGACCCCACTAGGAAACCTATAGCATTCTCGAATTTCTGCAACGTTTGCTGCTGTTAGCTCATCAAGTTCCTACAAACGAAAAAACTCAGGATCTATGGTCCTGAGAGAAGCGCTTTTACCCATCACAAAAGTCCTACTGGTTGCTAAGCCAGCCTTGATATCCATAATGGATTAAGGAGCTCAAAGAGGAATAGGAAGTTGAACTTCTCAGTAGATGAAGGATCTCACGGCAAAGCACAAAAAGGACAATGGTGAAAGAGAAATCCACTAGAGGGAAAGTTTAAATAGTTTCCCAAATTTAGGCGGTTCAATTCTCAGAAGTGCAATTAACATGGGCATTAAATATGAATGAAAATTTGAGAAACGTGTTGCAAAAGAGAAAGAAGTGGCACGCAAATCCAGCATATGTTGTACCCTATAATTGCACACTTGCGCTATGAAGGCATAACCATCACAATCACGTCTCCTCAATCTACGTGAAAAACATAAAATGTGCTCCGAAAGCCGAGTTAAGTTCTTTAGCAACACCTAGAGACTTCCCAGCTTGTTCAGAAGGTGAGCTCTTCGGCTTGTGTCTCCAGCGAGTTTCCTCAACTTATAAGAGCTTCTCAGCTCGAACCAAAGGATGAGTTTTTCAGTTCATACCTTGGATAAAATTTTCAGTTTATATTTAGGCTACCTATCTCGTTCAAAAAAAGACCGCCAAATCTCTTGACAAAATTATCAAAATACTAAGTCTAGGGAGCCGCCACAGGCCCGAACCTATCAGCTCAATCAAGGAAAAAAGTTATTGTTACAAGGCTAAAATGCCTTCCAGGAAATAACAAGGGCACTTGCTCAAAAATAGTCATATAAAGGAAATAAGAGAGTCATATTTCATCACAAAATAAAGTTTTTACAAAGAAAGCTAGTACAAAAGAAAGTTTTACAAGAACTCTTTTTAGCTTAGCTCATATTTCTTCCCTGGAAGTTCAATGGTATCCGTAGATAGAACATCAAGATCCCCATTCAGCAGAAATCTCGAGATTCCCTTCAGCATGAGCTTCATGGACCTCAGCATCCTTCCCCTTCTCCTCAATCTCAAGAAAGACGGGCATGATCGAATCAAAGTCCATCTTTGGGAACAACTTCTTAGCCTGTCCCTAAAAATTTTTGAAGCCATCCACAAAATTGCTCGTGGCCTCTTTGCGAACTTTTTCATTTTTGTGTCCTGGGCTTTCAGGAGGTCAATCAACTCAAGTTAAGCCCTCAAATCCTCTTCGTGATTGGCCTGCAGTCGTTTTGCATTTGCCTTAGCCTTCGCCTCAGCATAGAGGGGCGATCTAAGGGCATAGTCAACTTAGTGATATGAGAATCCTTCATGGATGACACCCCAATCAGTTCAACAATCTTAAGGTCCTTAGAAGATGATTCCTTCGGAAGAAACTCTTGTGAAGTTTAGAGCTAGTCCACCTTGTGGCGAAGATTTTCCATATCTTCTTTGTAGGAGACTAACTCAAGGGTTTGAGCTTTGTTATGGGCGAATAGCTTTTGCCATTCAACATTGAGGGANTTGTGAAGTTTAGAGCTAGTCCACCTTGTGGCGAAGATTTTCCATATCTTCTTTGTAAGAGACTAACTCAAGGGTTTGAGCTTTGTTATGGGCGAATAGCTTTTGCCATTCAACATTGAGGGCTTTGATAAAGGCAATAGACTACAGACAAATGAACAAATTTCCAAAAAAAAAAAAAGGAGAGAGACCTAGAAGAGATGAAGAAAAGGGAAGTCTTGAGGGAATCATACCGCGGCAAGGCCATGAACGGCTTGGGTGATTTTATAATTGTAAGGAGTTGTCACTAGCTTGCTTAGCTTGTCATTTGAAACCACGCTGAAAAGAGCCTTCACGGCCTCTAAAGGCTGGTTAAGAAATGGAGACTCATTTTTGGACTCCCCCAAGGGGATTTAAGCTAGTCTCACTTTTTTATTCTTTATTCCCACTCTCTACTTTCTTAGTAATAGTAGGAAGATAGAGCTTAGGGATAATGGGGGAAGGAGGAAGAAGTATGACATTTCCAGAAGGAGGAAGAGTGCAGTCGGCTTAAACATCGACAACTTCCTTTGTCAACTTTTCCTCCCCAGCTAAGATCCGAGTTGTAGGGCTTTTTAAAGTCTTTGGGAAAGAACTCAGCATGACCTTAAAGGAGGGAGGAGGATCAAACCTAGGTTTCTTAAAAGGAGCAAGGTCGGTCTTCTTAAGTTGTTTCCTCTATTTATGCTCCTCCATGTTCGTCCTGATCAGTTCTTGGTTGGGAGCCATCTCAGCAGTATCAGTGGAAGGAAGTTATTTAACACGAGGGCCAAAAATTGTATTTGGCCAAATTCTTAGCTATAACGAGCTCCTTGAAGGACCTTAAACCATGGGCCTCAGCCTGGGAAGTCCGAATTATCTCTTCAGTAAAAAGGAAAGCTTAATATCTTGCAAACACAATTCAGATCAGAAAAAAATTCAAGGAGAATGTTGAAGCAAAATAATGATAGGAATACTATCTAAATAAAACTTACGAGTGTTACAAGAAACGTCCCAAATACGAGGAACTCGAGAGGTATTATTAGAATCCCCTACCAGCTCTCAAGTGTCCCTAGAGACAAAGAAGAAGCTCTCTTTCCAACCCTTATGAGAAGTAGGGAGGTCATAAATGATTGCCTTGGTGAAATACAGGAAGTCTGGAGCTGGAGAAGACTTGAGATGGTAGTAATATGCAAATTTGGATAAAGTGGGAGGCAACTCAATACCACACTCTTGCCAATAAACCAATAGGCCTACTAGAATGTCCCATCCATTAGGAGACAACTGAGCCAGACAAACAGTATAATGACAAAGTACCTCACGAATAAAAGGGTGAATAAAAAACCTAAGCCCAACCTCAAAGGTTTTCACAAAAAAAAGGTCTTACTTCTGGAGGGACATGAAACATTACTTTTGGAGGGAAACTGTACTACTTTATAAGCTCTTGAGCCTAACTATTAGTCATATGACTTCGAGTTGAGGCTACACTGCAGGTTAGGTGAGAAAGATCCTAGAGTGCCTCTTTTTTTTTTTCAAAAATATTGAAGAAGACGAGCTTCCCTTTCTTCCCCCTTTTCCTTTTTCTTGATCTATCGGATAGTTCAACTTGAAGTACCTCCTTCCGACAACCTGAAATTGAGGCCTTGAGGTCTAAAACGAAAATAGAGGAGCCTAAAGGTTGTTCTGAGGGACCTGTCTCGACAGTGCTAAAAGGAATTCTTCTTCTTGAACCTCCTCAAAAGAACAAGAACCATCACCCTTAGAATCGCCCATTTGTGTTTAAGAATTCGAAGGAGTCGACTAAAAGGAAGTGTTTGAAGCAACTCTCACTGTTAGAACCCTACACCTCAAATCAAGGTAAATTTTGAGAAGATGAGAGCGATAGTCTGCAATCGCTCTAAGGTCAAGGCTCCAAAACCTCATTAAAGACAACCTAAACAATAAGGGGAGACTAACAAAGAGGGGTAAAGGTGTGAAAGACCTCGAAGAATACCTAAAATAGCAAAACCTAAGAACCACGAATCGGAACCCAATAGGCCACCACCAAGGGTTAATTCTATCAAGGATGAAGAGAGAAGAAAGAAACGTACCTAACAAGCAGGTGAATTAGGTAAAAATTTAGAGAAGATCAAGTGGTACAACTTTGGTGACTCTTGAAGCTCCTCTTCTCTCTCAAAAGAAAAGGTTGAGTACTTTTCTAAAGTGCAGCGTAAGTTCAAATATCTTCTGGGTTTTGGTGGTTCAAATCCATCACAAGCATTAAATGCACCAGGAAGTCACTAAAAAGTTCTCCAAGGTCCACTACTTGTAAAGGTCAGGTGTACACACGAGAAAAGAACATCCCATCAATTCAGGAAAATGGGGAGTAAACTTCGATTCAAACCCCCGAATTGAAGACAAGGACGATACTATTCGAGCTCAAGTTGGGAGGCAACTGATGATGCCGTATTTCGATCAATCATTTTTGTTAGTTACAACTTAACCTTGAACAACATGATAATGAAGGTAGAAGAGGAAGGTTGGCACCATTTGGAATAAAACATGTCCGAGCCTCCTCGACAGAGAAAGGCATTTAGATCAACAAGCATAATAACCCATAGCTCGTGCATTGTTATTAGAGGTTTAACCCTCTTGTGAAATCACTCCGCCACGTCATAGGCCTTCTCTGGAAATGGTATGAGAAAACACTGTAGCAAATTTTCTTCCCCAAGTAATACAGAGACTCCCAAGGAACAAGATACTCCATTAGAGTGGACTAGTCAAACTTCAATGCTGGTGAACCACCATCTCACTCTAAAGCCTTAAGCTTTTCAGCTAAAGCATCACTCCCACAATTACTTCTCTAATTCGGAATCCTCACACTCAGAAATTAATAGATCATCAGATATAAAGAAATTTACACTATGAAATTGCGAATTAGCATATAGACAAAGACATTGTGTTTCAAGATAATTGGCCGTGCTTGATTTCTATGGACATCAATGCCCGTTGCGATTAAGAAGAGAAGAGTGAAATTGGGTACTAGTTGAAAATTTTTTTAATAGTGCAAAGCAATTGATTTTCGAGAAATATTTTTATTGTTCAAACTGTATCAAAATGATGCCGTTTTTGGCTCACGAACAATGCTACATAGACTAAATTTGTGCACCAAAAGATTACACTGAATCATTGCCGGTGATTAGATTAGCGAGACCTATTATTATCCAACAACTAACGACAATTTGATATACATTTTTTATACACAAATTTAATGCAAATAGAAGTACTCTCACCTTACAGCAGAGAAGGTGTACCCACACGGAAAAGGTGAAGTGTGCACAATAATTAAAATTAAATGCTTATAGGGATTCGCACTGTCACTGAATCCAAGATCTACCAAACCAAAAAAAAAAAAAGAAAAGAAAATCATTCGGTTCTTTAATTCACTCAGAAGCCCAAACCGGCTAAACCGGCTGTACCGGCTGCAATGTTAGTTGATGCCTAATGGGAGGTAGATGAGAATAAATATAAATATAATATATAAACTTTCTGACAGGTATTTTTTTTTGTCTTTTAGGGGAAAGAGGGAGAGCTAAACACCAAAAAGCAAAAGGAAGGTGATGGCAGAAAAAGGCAACAGAGGAACCAACTAAGGCACCGTCCGTAAAAAAAAAAAAGGTTTTGCATTTGCTAAAGTTATCTCCGTTCCCCTTTCTCTCCCTCCGTTTCTCTACCACTACTCGGCTTGTTTGACTTGGTGTCATCAGAATTTCTGCTCTCTGTCTCTATAATTCTCTCTTTTTGGAGTTTCAGTGATGGGGTGATTCTATTATATGAAAATTTGATTGCTCTGTGTGAGGTTAGGAAATGTGTTGACTGTTATATGGTGAACTGGAGATGAAGCTTGTGGGGTACTTGTTCTTCGATTTCCGGGTTTGTTGTTCGGAAGTTTGGGTTTTAATTGGAATTTAGGGCTTGGAATTACTCCAGATTCTGAACTTTTCAGAAGGTAAAGTGTTTCAGGTTTTAGAATCCTAAGCAGTGCAGTGTTCACTCAGTTTCCTGATTAGGCGGTGGATTTACGCTATGTAAATTCAAGCACCCTTTCCGTTGGGATTTTCGATTAATGTTTTAGGGCTTGAAGAAAAATGGCAGCTGAATCGAACACTGGGTTTCCCCCCGGCCAGACTTTGGGCGCTGCACTTAATCGACATGCCATATCGTTTCAATCGGGTGCGATAAACAGCACTTCTGAAATGATTCCTATGGGAAATTACTATGGGCATGGGGTAAATAGTATGGGGGGCATGACGTTTTCTGGGAATTCAAGTATTATGAAGAACAATTCAGGAATTGCGACAGAAGCTGGGAATTCCTCTCCTCTTCTGCTGGATTCCATGCCAGGGCTCAAGCACGATAGGGGTTTCGCTGTGGAGTGGTCTGTTGAGGAACAGTACAAGTTGGAGGAAGACCTTGTCAAGTAGGTAGCTTGTTCCTGGTCTTTATGTTTATGACTTGGTCATATCTTTGATTGAGAACATGCTTTTAGTTGCTCATTAGCGTATAAATGCTCTTCATGGCCAGCTCTTACATTTTTCTCTGGTTAAATCCAATTATGAACTGTTGAGGTAAGTGAATTTTTAAGTGTGTGATGACTGAATGTGACAAAGCAAAGATGATATAGCTCAATTAAAATTTTGTTATTGTTTTCAAGCTGAAAAAGAAAAAAGGACACTGAAGTAGCATCGTTGATTGGATATTCTGTCAGTTTTTCTACAGGAATCCAAAAACACAATTGAAAAATGAACCATACCCAGTTCATCTGATAACTCAAAATTACCATTGCTTAGTCTTCCTGCAATTGAGCGCCCCATACTAAAAAACCTTAAGTCAGTGATGTTTCTGATCTTCCTTCTTGAGTGGATGCTCCTTCTTCATCTTTTTCTACCCATTCTTTTGTTCTCTCTCTCTCTTTATATATATATATATATATATATATATATATATATATACCANCCCCATACTAAAAAACCTTAAGTCAGTGATGTTTCTGATCTTCCTTCTTGAGTGGATGCTCCTTCTTCATCTTTTTCTACCCATTCTTTTGTTCTCTCTCTCTCTCTCTCTCTCTCTCTCTCTCTTTATATATATATATATATACCCTTTAGTCAATACTAGGAGAAAACATCATCTTTGACATTCTCTGAGTATTAGCTTTGACGATGCCAGTTCTGAACCCATGGACTCCACTCAACTTGAAGAACGGTATCTTATTCACACTTTCAATCCACTTGTGAGACTTGGTTTTGTTGATACTTGTTTTCCTCCTCCTTATTGTGCTTTTCTTACTTATGTTCAGTACTTTTTTTTTTTTTAACTCGGGGTAGTTCATCTTAGATTTAGCTATTAAGGCTTCTTTGATAGATTTCTTACTCCTTCCTGACGACTGTATACTTGTCATCATCCTGNTGGTTTTGTTGATACTTGTTTTCCTCCTCCTTATTGTGCTTTTCTTACTTATGTTCATTACTCTTTTTTTTTTTTAACTCGGGGTTGTTCATCTTAGATTTAGCTATTAAGGCTTCTTTGATAGATTTCTTACTCCTTCCTGACGACTGTATACTTGTCATCATCCTAGATTGACCTTCTTTAAGAAGTTGTTGATTTACAACTTTAAGCTGTTTAAACTCATTTAAAGGTGAATAATAGGCATTAACCTGGGATCTACCCCTAGATCTGCCTCCTCCGCGACCTCGGGCACAGAAATTACCTCATCCCCTATTCATGAAGAACCTTGCAAAAATTCTCTAGTTAGAAGCAATGTTTTTTACATCTTGTTCTAGAACATTCTTAGTAGAATTACAGTTAATTCTTAATAGAAATTCTTGATTTAACAAGTTATCTTGAAATTTACNGTCCACAGAAATTACCTCATCCCCTATTCATGAAGAACCTTGCAAAAATTCTCTAGTTAGAAGCAATGTTTTTTACATCTTGTTCTAGAACATTCTTAGCAGAATTACAGTTAATTCTTAATAGAAATTCTTGATTTAACAAGTTATCTTGAAATTTACTAATACATTTTACAATGGATAAAATTTCTTTTTAAATTGTAGAATAATTTAATGGAGCAGTTCCCCATTTTCTTGTGGTAAATCTAATATGTAATTCATTATTAGTATTGGGATCATTTTACTTAAGAATACCTCCATAACTTGTATTTGAGGTATTAGTCTCTACTATCTTATACCAGTCGGGATTTACCAATGATAGGCATGGTAATCTTTTAGGTTTAAGCTTTATTTTTTCTTACTGCTCCAAGGTGAAGATTTGTTCAAAGTGATGGATTCTTCTGAAATCTAGAATATAAAATAACAGTATTTTGGGCANGGGATTTACCAATGATAGGCATGGTAATCTTTTAGGTTTAAGCTTTATTTTTTCTTATTGCTCCAAGGTGAAGATTTGTTCAAGGTGATGGATTCTTCTGAAATCTAGAATATAAAATAAAAGTATTTTGGGCGNCTTTATTTTTTCTTACTGCTCCAAGGTGAAGATTTGTTCAAAGTGATGGATTCTTCTGAAATCTAGAATATAAAATAACAGTATTTTGGGCAAGATTTTTATAAAAATCTGATAAATAATTTAAACTTCCCAAAAATTGTTGTAATTGCTTCTTATCTTTAATTTCATCAGGAAATTTTAAAGCGAATTCAATACTCCTTTCAATTGGGACCATATTCTCTAGTTCAATATAAAATCCTAAAAATCAAACTATAAGTTGGAACAATTTCATTTTAACAGTAGAAAGGACTAAACCATTTCTTCTTACAACTTGAATAAATGTATGATTTAAATGTTTAAAATGACAATCAATAGAATCAGAAAATATGAGTATATCATCTATGTAAACAATAAAAAATCCATAATAAGGATAAAATATATCATTCATTATATTTTGAAATTCTGAAGGGGCATTTTTATACCCAAATGTCATTACATTTCATTCATAATGACCAAATGATACTGTAAAAGTAGTTTTATACATGTCTTTCTCAGCGACTTGAATCTGCTAATATCTTGATTTTAAATCAAACTTAGAGAAAATCTTATCATTATACAAACGAGATAATAAATACTTCTTATTTGGAATTGGATATATAATCCACTGCAAAACCTTGTTTAAAGGTTCGTAATTAATAACCAGTCTAGGAATCCCTCTCTCTTTTTCTGCATTGTTATTTACATAAAATGTTGCACAACTCCAAGGAGAGTAACTTTTATGAATTAATGATTTCTCTAATAAAGAATCAATCTTTTTTTTTACAGAGTTCTAGATATTGTCTCATTTTCTGTATTGTTATTTACATAAAATGATGCACAACTCCAAGGAGAGTAACTTTTACGAATTAATGATTTCTCTAATAAAGAATCAATCTCTTTTTTACCGAGTTCGAGATATTCTTTATTTATTTGGGTAGGCCTTGCCTTAGTAGGAATGTCTTTTACATTAAATTCCTTGATATAAGGAAGTGTTACTACATATTTTTTTCTATCCCAAAAGATAGAAANTTTGGGTAGGCCTTGCCTTAGTAGGAATGTCTTTTACATTAAATTCCTTGATATAAGTAAGTGTTAGTACATATTTTTTTCTATCCCAAAAGATAGAAGGAATTATATCACAAATTTCTTGAATTATTTTATGTTCTAGTTTTTTTTTTAATTTTATTTTAAACTCATTAGTTTCCATTTTATCAGATATGCTTAAACTTTTAATGTCTTCTTTTAGAAAATTTAGTTGATTTGTTTTATGAATCAAGTTTCTTTTATCTGATCTTATCATTTTTTATTTGAGGTGGAGTTATGAACTCAAACAGTATTTGTTGACCCTTTAAGGTAGTTAAAATTCCTTTAGAATTTATTCTTTCTATGAGTTCAATCATAGATAAAAATGGTGTTCCCAAAATTACTAATTGATTTAAATTTGCTATGAACATAAATGTAGTAGGAATGTAAATTCCTAAATTACAGATATAAACATTTGAAAGGTTAAATTTTATATTTAATTTTGAACCATCAGCTGTGCTTAATGACTAAGTTATTTTTTCAAAGTATTTTGTAGGAATTAATCCTTCTTTAATGTAGCTCATGTCTGCTCCACTATCAATTAATGCAATTGTTTCAATAGTGAATTCTTGGTTAATCACAAGTATAATTTTAACATACCGTTTTTGATAAATTATTTTTTCTAATACATTTATGTATTCACTAGAATAATTTAACTATTTTTGTATTCTCAATTTCTTCCTTGATTACTGGCATTTTTTCCAGTGCTAAGAGCCTTTGCTTTATTATCTTTATTTCAACTTTAAGTTGATTAATTTCTCCTTTAAGGTCTTGCATTGAGGTTTCATTTTCTTTAATTACCATAGTTTCATATCTATTTAAAACATATTTTAAAGAATAAGGTTGCGATAGGGAAGACTTCTTCTCTTTTGGAGTTATTTCCAAATATTGTTCTATAGCTTTTCTTTTAGATATATGATCTTGAATCTGGTCTATAATATCCAGAATCAAAGTCTGTGACTTAGTTAAAGTATATATACTTAATCCATTCATGTATAATAGTTAGTTTGTACTTTACAATGTGATGAACAAGCCTTATCCTGTTCTAATTTATCTTCATCAGATGAAAAATTACTTATTTCATCTTCCATATTACATAGTTCTTCTTCAAAAAATGAACTATCAGAGGACTTCTCTTCTTTTTGAATAAATTATAGTCTTTAAAATTTTATCTTTAAGATTTTCATCGAGAATTAACTCATTTTTTTTTGTTTAGTTAGAAACTAGGAGTTTTCCACATTTTTCACACTTAATAGGTTTTTTACCATTTGCCTTATGTCTTTTAATAGGTTTGTTAGTTTTGTCTTTATCATAATTCCTTTTATAGAATTTTATCCTTTTCTTCTAAGGTCTAGAATATGTTTTTCGTTTTGTTTGAGATTTCTCTTTTGGAATATCAATATTAAAGGCAAATTGATTACAAAATTCTCTTAATTCATTATAACCTATTAATCTCTGTCTTTTAAGCTGAGCTTTAAGATTTAGATCATTATATAGAGCTAAACTTTCTGATATACATTCAGAAATTAATTATCCGTAAGTATAATTTTTATAAGGGATTTTCAATCTACCATGTCTCTGTTTTAAACAAATTCTTATTTTTTCAGCAAATAGGCTGAGTAATCTTAATATGAATTTTTCTTTCCAAAATTCATTGTTAGCATCAGTTTTTAATAGGACTTTAGCCAAAAATACATTTTTATACCATCTAAAATGTGTTAAAGTGGAGCATCTTAGATTCATTAATAGTTCTTTACTCTTATCTGTATTCTGTAGGCTTGTCCATACAAAGTATTTTAAAATTGTTTGTATTAAGGTATATACAACGACTTCTTGAGTTGTTATACTTCCATCAACAATTGTTATTATTTTTACTGCATTTAATATTTCAGATCTTTGGGTTAAACTTAAGTAATTATCCCACCAGTCTCTTAATTGACCAGTAAGTCCGGCTATAATAAATTTAGCAGTGTTATGATATGTATTTTAATTGGTTTTACGTACATATGCATACATAAGGATTTTATGTAAAACTTGATGAATTACATATTCAGACATATTGTTGACATTCCACTCATAAATGAATGAAGCATCATATCCAGTTTGTTCAATAACAAAATTTTCCTCATATAAAATATCTTGAGGTGTGGATCTTTGATAATAAGCCCTCATTGAAGGTGCTTGAGAATAAGTGTTAGTTTGTTTTTTAGGTTTAGAATACCAAGTCTTATTTACTTAAGATTGCTTTTGATGCAGATATTCTTCAAACAGTTGAATTTTAGTTTCAGATTGCTCTACACTCTAAGTTTGAGATATTACATTTAAGGATAAAATTTTTAATTTATTTTTTAGTTCAGTTATGAACTCATCTTCAACATTGTTATGAAGATTAAATTTAGATGTGTTAACTGGAGGTTTAATATTTATTTTCTCAATTTCAATTTTCTTTTCCTTTGAGGATTGAGAAGTAGAACCTTGTTTTTGTTGATCTTTAATCAAGTTTCAATTCTAGTCAAATGTTGTTCTACAACTTTTAAGCAAACATTTGTATAATTACGTTGTTTAAATATCATTATTTTTTAATGCATATCAAGCATTCATTATTATTTCTCCCGCTCCGTTTAAATCCAATTTAATTTGTTCGGAAGTTGGAGTATAATTACTAGTTATACTTTTTCCCTTTAAGGTTTCCCATTTTTGTTGAAACTTTTCAAANATTATTTTTACTGCATTTAATATTTCAGATCTTTGGGTTAAACTTAAGTAATTATCCCACCAGTCTCTTAATTGACCAGTAAGTCCGGCTATATTAAATTTAGCAGTGTTATGATATGTATTTTAATTGGTTTTACGTACATATGCATACATAAGGATTTTATGTAAAACTTGATGAATTACATATTCAGACATATTGTTGACATTCCACTCATAAATGAATGAAGCATCATATCCAGTTTGTTCAATAACAAAATTTTCCTCATATAAAATATCTTGAGGTGTGGATCTTTGATAATAAGCCCTCATTGAAGGTGCTTGAGAATAAGTGTTAGTTTGTTTTTTAGGTTTAGAATACCAAGTCTTATTTACTTAAGATTGCTTTTGATGCAGATATTCNTTTTTTTTGTTTAGTTAGAAACTAGGAGTTTTCCACATTTTTCACACTTAATAGGTTTTTTACCATTTGCCTTATGTCTTTTAATAGGTTTGTTAGTTTTGTCTTTATCATAATTCCTTTTATAGAATTTTATCCTTTTCTTCTAAGGTCTAGAATATGTTTTTCGTTTTGTTTGAGATTTCTCTTTTGGAATATCAATATTAAAGGCAAATTGATTACAAAATTCTCTTAATTCATTATAACCTATTAATCTCTGTCTTTTAAGCTGAGCTTTAAGATTTAGATCATTATATAGAGCTAAACTTTCTGATATACATTCAGAAATTAATTATCCGTAAGTATAGTTTTTATAAGGGATTTTCAATCTACCATGTCTCTGTTTTAAACAAATTCTTATTTTTTCAGCAAATAGGCTGAGTAATCTTAATATGAATTTTTCTTTCCAAAATTCATTGTTAGCATCAGTTTTTAATAGGACTTTAGCCAAAAATACATTTTTATACCATCTAAAATGTGTTAAAGTGGAGCATCTTAGATTCATTAATAGTTCTTTACTCTTATCTGTATTCTGTAGGCTTGTCCATACAAAGTATTTTAAAATTGTTTGTATTAAGGTATATACAACGACTTCTTGAGTTGTTATACTTCCATCAACAATTGTTATTATTTTTACTGCATTTAATATTTCAGATCTTTGGGTTAAACTTAAGTAATTATCCCACCAGTCTCTTAATTGACCAGTAAGTCCGGCTATATT